CACTTGGGTCCTTTCTCTGAATGCCTGCCAAACAGCTGCCTGGTCTCTGCTTGAACACTTCCTCTGAGGTCCTGCCATCAGGGTCAGCACACTGGGTTGTTGGACAGCTCCCTAAGACACATCCTTATCCCCTTAGTATTTGCACCTTTTGAACATTAGAATCAGAGCCCCCTCTCCCCCCGAAAAAGGTATATTTCTCTTTCTGTGCTGACATTTAAAGAAAGCTTCTCCAGCTCTTCATGGATTGCCCTTCTTAGGCTAAACTCCCAGCTGCCAGCAACCCTTCCGTCCAGGTGCCTGGCCTCTCACTCCTCCTATAAGCTTTTCTCTTTGGTTAGCCATTTTAATCTGTATTTTAAGAAACCATAGCTGACTTGACCAAGTTGGCATCACAGACTATGTCTTTCTCTTCCACCCAGGCCAATCGGCTTCCTGTAAAAAGCATCCTTTTGGGACAGACCTTCAGGACACTGCCACAGTTATTCAAGCAGGTGCATTTAAAGGCATATTACAGGGGCTGGCCAGTTAGCTCAACTGGTTAGAGTATGGTGCTGATAATACCAAGGTTTTGGGTTTGATCCCTGTACCGGCCAGCCACCAAAATTATAAAGACATATTACTGAATGGTTTTTCCTTCTTCATACTCCCTTCCCCAAATACACAGCACACTCCTCTCCTGTCAGGTGTACATGGCAAAGCAAATTACTAAGAAATGTTGACAATGAGTGGTTACTCAATTTTATTGCTTTTTCTACCTTTTGCTGAATCAAGGCAGATGGTAAACAGTCCGGCCTGGCCACTATGAAGCACAGGAAAAAGGATGACATTACCCTACCTGTGGGCATAAAAGCTAAATCCACAAGCTGACTCCAGGGCTGCCTGGGGGTAGGTGAAGACTGAGTGACATGCAAGTTCACCTCAGAAGCCCTGTGCTGGCAGTTGCTCCTGCTCAAATACTTTTTTTCAATTAGTCCTTCCCAACACCCCCAGGTTACTGGCAAAGTAAAACAGTCAAAAGCAAGAGGAGCTAGTCAGAGTCACTGAGTAGGTCAGGGTACTTCAAGTTCATCAAATCTTTACACCAAAGGATTATTTTAGGCTTCATCTGCCCACTCATATTACAGCACAAGGAACTGAAGCTCTCAGGGAATAAACGACTTGTTCAAGGTCACAGTGTGCCAGAGCTGAGATTTCCAGATCCTAACCAATGTTAAGTTCCCATGCTGTATTTTAGCATTCAGCTTTTCCTCAATCTCTCTATGAAATCCTTCAAGACCTAGTTCAGGTTCTTTACAGTCCAGGAAATGTTCCCAATCTTCTCCAAGTCTGTTGAGTCGTCTTCCTTCCCTGATGGCACAGAATGTATCATCTCCATCACTCATTGGCTCCATTAAATAGAATGCCCTTGACATCTCCTGAGTCATGGAACTCTGAGCTGGTAGGGTCATTGGAGGTCACTTAACTCATGCCTCACTTGCAATCTCTCATACTTTAGCTCACCAGTGTTGCTGAAGTTCCTTTGGAGAAAGATTCTTGTCTTGTTGATGATCGTTATACCTCTCTATCCAGCACCATTCCCTGCAGAAATTGCATATTTGGTTCAGAATGCCAGTTTAGCAATTACCAAGAATATAGGTGTCTGGTAGATTGGATTCCAGTTCCAGGCCTGCCATGTACTCACAGTGTGACTTTGGACTAGGTACTTTACCTCTTTAAGAATGATTCCTCATCTGTCCAACGGGAATAACAGTAGTGCCCACTCCGTGTCATTTATGTGAATTAATAACACAAGGCAAGAGTAGAGCTCTTAGCACTACCTCAGGCTTCAATGACTATTTGCTATTCCTTGATCACTTTCAGGGAAATTCACTTTGTTAATGTCATTGGCTTATAATCAGATTCCAAAGAAGAGGCCCAGGCATAGAAACTTGGGGGAACCTTTCACATCTGAGGGAAACTTCCATCTACATAAAGCAGGCTGGAACTTAACAGGGAAAGTGGAAATACAAAGAGGAAGAGACCTGAAGAAATCTTACTTTCAGTCTGTGCATTATCAGTAACAGCCAATAATCCCAACAAGAAGGCGAATGTGGGGAGGCAGGCCAGGTATGAAGGTGACTTTTGTAAATGTGGATGGTAGGCAGTTTGTGCAAAACTACCTTGAGGTCCCCCTACTGGACTTGGAGTAAGATGGAAATTCTCTTTTATTTGTTTGTTTGTCCGCCTTTAATGCCAGGGATGTTCTACTACCACGAACTCTGGGCCCAGGACCCAAAGCATGATCGGAGGGCTTCAGCATACACTATCACCCCCTAGTGGTGGCTCCACAAGCCCCATTATTGGCAGAGCTTGGCATTCACCAACTTTGCACGCCCAGCTGTGGCACCAGCCATCTCCAAATCCCCTGAATTGACAAGCTACTAGTAGAAGACTCACCTAACTTGCCAGAGACAAACACTAGGCAGGATGTTTAAAAGGTCTGGAGATGGGAGGGGGCTACCTTGGGACCCTGGGAAAGAAATAGCCATAAATGATTCATAGTACCCTTCCCCCACTGCCGTCACCAGCACTATTTTCCAGCCAGCCTGGCCCTCCCAGAGCTCATTGTGCACTCCGTGTTTACACGCAAACAGTCGAAGACCAACACAAACAAAAAGCCCACGTCTCCCTACACAGCTCCTGCTACACCCGGCCATCTGGTGACTACCTCGCTAGCCAAATCCCAGTAGAGCGCCGTCAGCTGCCATGCCAGGGCGCTGAGGGGAGGAGGAGGAGGCAGGAACCCAATTCCCTGCATGCATGCAAAGGGCTGAGTGCTGCCAAGGAGGAGAGCACCAGGCCACTCCACAGGCAGGCAGTCCCCAGCTGCCAGGCTCAGCGTCTGTGCATCAGAGAAGGCAGAAGGCTCCAAACAGAGGCACTGGGAGACTCTCGAGCTCACACATGGGTCCTGAGGGATGCAAGACTTCCAGCTCCTCACTCAGCTCTTCACTCACCCCAAGCTCCCAGACACCCAGCCCCTTTGAAAGTCAAAGTTAAAAATGGCAGGGACCGCCAGCTCCAGGAATTCCCGGGCACCTCTGTAGCTGGCTGGACTGGGTCCTTCACATCTTTGGGAATTGGAATGCTCCGGGGTCCTCGCTGCCAAGTAAGGTCATACCCAAGGACCGCCTCCCTTCCCCCCTCATTTGAGTGGCAATTTAGAGAAATTTCCACCTCTGACCTCACAGGGCACCAGAGTAGAGAGATCTAGAAAATGGAGGGAGAAGGGTAGGATTGAAAGTGGCGGCAAAGGGACACCTTCTCTGTCTCCAGAAGGACCCATCCCCACGAGGAGGAGGTAGAAGGTAGAGGTGAGCCTGAGGTTATCTCTGCACCCTAAGGAACCTCACGTCCACCCACATCTCCTTCCTTGGACATGGGCAGCCACACAGGTGTAGGTGGGAAAGGCGTGTGTGTGTGTATGTGTGTGCATCGCACGCCCTACGCGTCACCGCGGGAAGTCCCTGGAGAAACTGCAAGGCGCTCTCTCTCCCGCCTTGCCTCCCAGAAAGCTCAGCACGCTCAGGTTACAGCCAGGCTGGAGAGCACAGGAGCCCGAAACCCGGAGGCGCAAGCTCAGACCACGAGAGGGCCTGGCACTCGCTCAAATCCCCAGAGGCGGCCAGCATAAACGGGAGGGGGGCTGGGGTGTCACAAAAACACATTAAAAAATATCAGTGGCTCCCAGGAGTCTAGTCCACTGATGACTCTGGGGCTTGTCAGGCAAGCAAGGAGTTGACCTCGGAGGTTCAGGTCAGGATCCTAAAGGCGCTGACCACGAAGGCCGGCCACCACAGCGATGCGTGAGCCGGATCCCGGGATGGCAAGGACCCGGGGAGGAAGAGCTCCGGAGTCTGGGGGCGAGCCCCCGGCGCCTTGCAGACGCTGCTGTTGGTCAGACTCCGACAACCAATAGGGCCCCGCGCCCCCAAGAGGGGAGGGGAGAGCGAGCGAGCCGCGAGCGCGGGAGAGCTGAGGGGAACGACGTTTTTGTAAACGCTCCCCGAGATAATTAAGCTATCAGTTACTCGGGTGGGAAATCCGCCGCGCTTCCCACAGCTCCACCGAAGGGCCGGCTCCTCCGGGATTCGCGCTGGGAACCAGCAGGCAGCAAGCTGCGGGCGAACTTTCTGATTAACTTTTCCCTTGGAGCCCCCCACCCCCGCCCGTTGCCTGTCCCCTCCTTTTTTCTTGCCTTTCAGTTCTTGGTATTAGTCCAGTGAGTGAGCTGCGGGGACAAACCTGCTCTCTGATGGCAGCGAGGTAGACATGCGAAGGCGGTGACGGAGATGGAGGGAGAACCTCAAAGTAGAGACCGTGGGCTCAGAATCCCAGACCTCAGCAATCACTCAATCCTCCCCAGCCCCATTTCACAGATGGCCAAAACTGAGTCCCAGAACGGGAAAGCGACTTGGCCAAGGTCACACGGCCCATGTGAAAGCCGAGCTATTGTGGGCTGGGTGATTCTACCTGGAGCTACTCCTCTCAGATGCTGTTGGAAATCCACCTGGAAGGGCCGAAGCCACAACTCTGAGGCTAGAGCGAGGGGGCGGTAACCTCGGAGGGCCAGTGACCACGCCTGGAGGAGCAGAGGGCTGCTGGACCGGGAACTGGCTTTGGAGCAGGGGGACTGCCCCGTCCCCTAGCCAGAACGATTTGGGGTCTGGCGTCCGAGATGGGTCAGCGTAGAGCTCAACATCTGGACTGAGGCAGAGGGACAGGTTCCCACTGCGAGAGGGTTGGGACGCCCCGGGCTCTCCCGCCGCGCGCTCTCCAGGACCTCCTGCCCCACACTCCTTTCCAACCACCTGTGCGCCCTCCGGGCCCCTCAGCTGTCCTCTGCCAACCCCACTCGGCGCAGCCCGGGGCGGGGAGCCCCAAGGCGTCCCCACCCGTCCGGCCTCACTTAGGGGATCAAGGTTCCTGGGGGTCCCGGGTGTGTCGGCGCCTAGCCTTACCCAGGGTGAAGAAGGGCAGCTCCGTGTTGTCCAGGTCGTCCTGCACCGCGATGCGTCCGGGCAGCTCGTTACGCACAAAGAGCAGGAGGCGCGACTCGGCGGCTGTGCCGGCAGAGCCGGGAGAGCCCGGAGACGCGGCGGCGGCGGCTCCGGCCCCGGTCCCGGCCCCGGCCCCGGCCCCGGC